CTAAGTCTAATTTCATTTCAGCCGGAAACGAACAATTTGAACGAGGGCTGTTAATTCGTATTCTATATATCGTTTGCATGTTCGGCAGGTCGGGCAACCTGCAGTATAAAGATGCTGTTTGTCTTCTAATTGGAAAAATCTCGACAAACTTGGACTGTTATATGAACCAAAAAACTTACCTTCTGTAAGCCTTCAGGTGCGAGGATGATGAGGCTGTATGTTGTGACAAATTTGCTCACTTGTTGATGGAACGGATACCGCGGAGCGAATGAGTGGCGAGAGCGCCGCTGTCTGTTTTTCTAGCGATTCAAGGAACTCTGTCTAGGTGTGTGTGAGTGTGTTTAGGCTTACATACACAGGTTGTAATAGCATGAGAGAAACACGTATCTCCAATAAGCCGATTAACGACCATTTTTGAACGCTACACAATAACTATAGCCAGTGAAGCTAGGTGAGATGTTCTATATTTTTTTATTGGTTCTTTGTTTTAATAATTTCGCCGCTCTTGAAATATTTTGTTTCATAGATTCTTGTACATCCAGCGTAGTCTAAGTAATGTATGTGTTCGCTATTTATATATGTTCGTGGCTCAGTGTTTTGGGCTATGATTCTGTAGGTCGAGAGTTCGCGTCTCGTTACCTTAAAAACAAAAAATAAATTACATTCTGCACTTTCGGGACGTGGGTGCGTTATAAGTGCGACTGTCGACTCCCACTACTTGGTCAGACACGAGACCCCAAGAGTTGACTTTAGCTGCTGTTAACTAGCTGCCTTTCCTTTAGTCTATTATTTGGAAACTAGGGATGGTTAACGCCCTTTTTGGCTGCGGGCGCATTATAAGTGTGACTGTCAAATCCCACTATCTGGCCTCTTGATTAGCTTTGCACGAATATCCAAAAACAAACAAAATATTTAAACTGAATACCAGATAGTTAGTCCTGTAGGTTCGATCCACGTATTACATTATGTTTAGTTCTTAGGTAATTTATACTTAAAATGTGTGTTTTAACCTAATATATGTTAAATGTTTCACAAATTAAAGTGTACAGAATGTAAACGCTATGTTTCTGTATATATATATATATATATATATACATATTAGCCACTATTAATAATAACAAAATTAACTGAAACTACAAAAGGGATGGAAAAGAAAAGACAAACAACAACAAGGAAATTAACTCATTATTGCAGGTTTAGTGAAACTGATATCAGCGGTTTTTTAAATATTAGCGCTGCGTTTCAACGCGCGTTACCTGCTAATCCCATCTAAAATTGGTACACATTTTGAATTGTCGTTGTTAGTGGTGGAACTTTTTATTGTTGCATTAATTGGGTTTGAATTTCGCGCAAAGCTACACAAGGACTTTCTGCGCAAGTCATCCCTAATGTTAAACTGGTAGACTAAGGGTAAGGTAGCTAGCCGACAGTACACATCTCGAACTCTTGAGCTGCTCTAATCGTATAGTAGGATGATGTGACTGCCACACTTATAACGTACCCGAAGCCTCAACGTGCGGGGGGAATTTTACGTCACAGCGAGACGCGAACCAACGGCCCTTAGATTCACAATCCAGCATCTTAACTATTAGGCCACACACGACCAATGCATCTTTTGACTATTAATACTAAACCGTATTGCTGGATATTTTGAGTCTAAATAAGTTTGAAAATTGATGGTACCATGCAGCTTATTCAATCAGGCTTGTTACAGTTTATTTTTAAACAAATTCTTTCGAGCAAACTGTACATTCCACTTAACAGGGTGTTTCAATAGCCCCCCAGTGGCACAGCGTTATGTCTGCAGACTTACAACGCTAGAAACTGGGTTTCGATACCCGTGGTGGGCAGAGCACAGATAGCCCATTGTGTAGCTTTGTGCTTAACTTCAAACACCAACAAACAACGTGTTTCAATAAGTCCCGCCCCCCAGTGACACAACGGTAAGTCTGAAGGCTTAGGGAGCTAAAAATCTGGTTTCGATACCATTGATGGGCACAACACAGATAGACCATCATGTAGCTTTGTTCTTAACTCCAAACAAACAATACGTTTCAATCTTAAACTAACTTCTACTAAACGCACATAAGAGACGCGGTTTTGCGTTGTCATTTCGTTTAATCGTGTTACTACTTTCACCTTACGAACGTTATAAATACAAATACTAAGGGACGCAGTTTTGTGTTGTCATTTCGTTTAATTGTGTTACTATGTTCACCTTATGAACGTAATAAGTACAAATACAAGGATGGTTAAGGTGCAAAGTTGAGGGTAATAAAAAGTGCGTTGAGTTTGTGATATATTACAAACTCCTGAATTATATTGGCATCTAAAATACAATTACTCAATGATATATTGGTATATCTCCAATAGTGAATTTCTCCCGCTATTATAGGTTGTATGGCGTATGAAACTTAAATGTCCTGATTACTAAAAAATATATATATATTCCTGTTTAGTTAACAACAACTCGAGCTGAAGAACTTGAGGATTTACAAATTCCCAAAGTAAACATGTTTTGTAGTGTTGTTAAGCACAACGCTACACGATGGGCTATCTTTGCTTTGCTCACTGCTGGTATCGAAACCCTATTTTTAGCGTTATAAGCTCTAAAACTAATCGTTGAGCCACGTGGGTATCCTATGATATACAAAAAGAGGAAATATTTGAAAAAAATGCTTTATTTTAAGTACCAAAAGTTTCAGTAACAATCCAAATAAAACAAGACAGCTATTCCTTCGTAAATACACAAGCTGAGGTATTCGTCCTTTGTCCAGGTTATGAACTTTAAAAAATGAGTGAATGGATGCTATGATAAATAACACAAAAATCTTAACTTTCATACAATTTTATTTATAACATAACATATTATTACAGTATTTGTTTTTATCTTACCAAAAGATTTGTATAAGCTTTAATAATTCAATATGTATATGTTTAAAACATGGTAGACACTTTGGTGCTCAAGGGTGCGCTGTAAGTTATTTGGCTGATTGGTTTGTATTATAGAGCAAAGCTTTCTGTTACCTGCTTTGAACACCCACCGCTTAATTAATGTATTTCCAATGTGTTTCATGTAATTGATAATTGACGGCCATTGGCTGCAGGAGTTTCTTACGGGCCAAAGCAGGAAGTGGGTATAACTCAAGAAAACGCTCTTCATATCAGCCTTATGGTGTCTGTTGGAGTAGAAACTTCAACTGAGTTTATGAAGTATTGCAATAATGGCGGCTATTATTTTTCATTGCATTCCTCCGTATAGAGTGCTAGCGTACTCTCTGAGATATGTAAGACGTTTGTGTGCCCTCCGCCAACACTTTGTGTATGTTGTGTTATAGGAAATTTAACAAATTTAAGTTTTTGCTTTTTTTTTGGTGTTAGGACGTGGCGCCATCTATGATTGTAGTTAACGTTAACTTACGTCAAAGATAAAAAATGCTCAATAACAGTACTAACCCATTGTGAACCCCCATTAACATGCACCTTATTCCAAACTATCATCCCACAAAGTTTGTTTGAGATTGGCCCAGCAACCTTGGAGTAGTTAGATAACGAACAGACAGACACACAGATTTTTGCGCTTTATATATATATATATATATATAGTA